AACCCAGGAGGCGGAGGTTGCAGTGAGCTGACATTGTGTCACTGCACTTCAGCCTGGGCGACAGAGTGAGACTCTTAAAAAAAAAAAAAAAAAAAAAAGGCTACAAGACATTTCCTCCATTATAGCTGCTATTACTCAGTATTACTCAGTGTGGTATGCTGTCTTAAGAAAGTCACTATACTAGCCATGATGAGTTGGTCCAAAGGCTAGTACAAGCCCAAAGGCAATCATAGACAGAGCAAGAAGAAACTCTAGTTCTAGCCAATAAAGTTCCTAACTACAGAAAAGCACTATACCTTCTGGGCAATACTCTCTTGGTATAGGATATATATGAAGGAATTGAGGAGAATAAGTGATTCTCCTTAATAAGTGATACTCTAGGGCAAACAGGGCCCTAGAGTAACTATGAGGCTTAAGGAAGCAATTTCCCTGTTTCTGCCTCACATTCCTATTAAAGTAATATGTATGTATTCTCCTCAGGAGCTGAATAATCTGACTGGTTTTAGTCCAATTTACGTATTTTATCTTCTAATAAAAGCAATAGGTAGATAAACAAGATCCTGCTTTCTTTAAATTTTTTTGCCCTATAGTCTGTGTCAGACCCCTAAGTACCTAAGTAATGATGCATAATTAGCTCCTAGAGGGAACAATGTCTCAGATTTGTTTGTATTTCCCATAATACCTAACATTGTATTGAACAAATAGAAAGGCATAACAGAATCTGCCACCACTGCTTCAAATTCTAAAAACTCTATGAAAAACATTCTCATGGCAAATTAATATTATCAACCGGAGCAATCCAGAGGAAAGTCATATCCTCCTAAAGAACACTAATTTTATACTTAAACCTCTACATTTGAACGAAGAAGCCAATTCAAAACAGTAAACATTTCCTTTATACCTTTTTCTCGGGTTTTGGCTCCTTTTGGATGATGGATATAAATTTGCAGTTGAAATAACTCAATAATGACTTCTTTTAAAGAATCATTAAGTCTATGTTGAGTCCAAATATAAAGCAAAGTGGGAAGAATTTCATCTCCTAATTCACACACTCGAATTCGAAAGTTGACAGCCAAAGTCTTGAGGAAGATAGTAAGAGCTGCTAAGATATGATTTAGACCTGGAGAGCTCTTTTCTTGTCTGTGAGGAAACAAACAAACTCAACTGGGTGTAACAGGGGGAACAAACTGCACAAATTGAAGACAGTTATGAAGTGGCATGCTGGAAGAAAAGAAAAAAAGAACTCTAATTTTCAAACAATAGTCTTAATTTCAAAACCATTTAAAAAATAATAACAGCATTACTTCACACTAACAAAAAATTAGTTCTTATTTGGTGTTAAGACACCACTTCTGTTAGCTCTCCCTGCTGCTAAAACATTATCTAAAAATAAACGAAACTGATTTATAACACCATTTATAAAATGTCTTACATTATAAATTGAGTACTGCCACACATATGTACAATGTAATACTTCCAAAATATTTTCCTATTTTATTTTCTCAGTATATTACAACCATCCTCAAAAATGGGGGAAATGCAACGACTTAGAGGATATTTAACTTTCCTGGTCAACAGAACATCAGCAAGATACATCTCCCACTTGAAAACATCATGCAGTGTTCTGTATATTGGATATTCAGAAAGTGTCAGACTTGGTTGTCTCTTCAGGAATCCACTAGTTGTTATGATGGATCAATGTTTTATTTAAAGGTAGAATTTTTAGTTATTGAGTCTAAAACATGGTCTTGCAAGAAGGTCAAAAGTATTTCAACACAAAACAAAAGAAAAAGAGATTAGATTACCTTGCACACTGAATAGCCTTGGAAAAAAAGTCCAAAAATTTGGAATTTAATCCATCAGTCTGAGAACAGCATCCTTTGGTAACAGCATGAATTATTCTAGCCACTAAAACTCTATGAACATCTTGTGAAGGTTTCAGATAAAGCCCGAAGTACACAGAGAACAATTCTTAAAAAAAAAAAAAAAAAATTATTAGTCATGATTTTTAAAAAATCGAAATGTATTAAACGTTACAACTTAAATATTCCATAATCCCATACAGAAAAATGATTTTAAAACAGCACTAATTTATTTTTAACATAGTAAAAGTACTCCATCAGTATTTAATTTTATCTTATATAAAATGCCTTTAAGACAGAAACAACTATAAACTGCTGTGAGGGCACCAGCTTAAGAGCCACATTGCAGAACCATTACTTCTCTGAGCCTCTGTTCTATCATCTAGGCCCAACAAAGCACTTACAGTACATACTCCATGGGTTTTTTGTTTTTTTTTTTCTTTTTTTTGAGACACAGTCTTGCTCTGTCGTCCATGCTGGAGTGCAATGGTGCAATCTTGGCTCACCGCAACCTCCGCCTCCTGGGTTCAAGCGATTCTCATGACTCAGCCTCCCAAGTAGCTGGGACCACAGGCGCACAAAACCATGCCTGGCTAATTTTTGTATTGTTAGTAAAGATGG